TGTTGCCATAACTCATGAGGTCAAACCCTTCCTCCGAACAGCTGACGTACAAATCGTTAAAGTGTTGGCTTTGAGGTGGGGTAGACTCTAGAATGTTCTCACTGCATCGACGGTAATCAAGAGATCGGAGCGCGTCTACTTGACGGAACGTTTGAGTTAAACTCTTTTTCTTTTTTTTTTACCCTTTCAGTATGTTATGTAAAAAAGAAGAAAACGGAAAGCCAGAAAAACGTTGAAAACTCAAAGTTTAGAAAACATTCCCTCAGGGTTTTGAACTCACGTCGTCCGTATCGTGGTCACGTGATCCTCCTATTGGGCAGCTTCGGTCCCCCCCCCCCACCAACCCTTCATCCACGGCCCACCTATCCCCATGATAGCAACATTAAATAATTTTATTTTAACCCGATGTGTAAAAATTCATCCAGAAATGTTTTTTTTAGTAACCATATACACGTGGGAAGTTGAAAGGTGCTCTGGTGTGGTTTGCTCCGTTTTCTTCTCTCAAACATCTATCGTCATTATCTCTCCTTATCCCTGTTTGCTACTCTCTAGTAAACCCCCGAATCCTCGGCACTGGTGTGACGTAATTACGTTGCAAGTGCCTTAAAACTCTTGCTGATTGCCCTTTGCGTCTTGACAGACGGTCTGAAAGCAGTATTCATTATACGAGTTTGCCTGGGTGGTAGACATCGAGGAAGTAGATTGTCCAAGTACTACTTCCATCTCTTCTATCCGTACGTCGTGTTTTACGATCGTATCCATTTTATGACGTGGGGAACTCTGTGCCACCGCGTTCCGAAGAGGAAATTTACTCGTTAATCTGAAACGTACCCTTTGCATAGCAGTCTGTCAAAATGGGTTTTTTTTAGAAGTATTGAAAGTTTCAAAGAGATCTTCGCACTAGAAGTATTCTAAAATGTGAAGAATACAACCCCGGGGTACAAAATTACCCCAGGGCGTACGGATAGGGTTAATTAATATGCTTCAAGGGAGAGAAATCGTCAATAACTTTGGAGTCAAAGAATGTGTTAAGGCGTGTCTTGACTTTTTCTTTTTCTTCTCTGCTAGATCTCATAAGTAATCGTCTACTCTTACTAAAACTAAACCGTTGGTGGTTGGCAGGTGCTCTGGTGTTGTTTGGTCCTTTTTCTTTCCCATCAAACATCTATCGTCCTTATCTCTCCTACTTCTTTTTGTGTGTTTGTTATTCTCTTGTAACACCTCTCTAATTTCGGCACTTATATGACCTAATTGTGTTGCAAGTGCCGTAAAAGTCTTACTAAAACAAAACATAAAAAACTAAACCAGTAATAAGTACAAAAACTGTTGGCGCTCATATGAACTTATGCAGTTGCGAGCGCCGTAAAAACTACTAAAATAAAACAACAAACCTGTTGTACCCCCCACCAGGTCCACGGCCTTCTACCACATGGTCAAAGCCCTGGCCTGGACAGACCTGCTGGGCATCGTGTGCTCTACGCCCGTGGTACTGGTCATGTACATCAACAAGGAAGATGTGCTCAAAACAGGTACGACTCACACTGTTAGGGACGATTGTTGTGCTCAACCCAGGTAGATCTACGACTCACACCTTACCTGCTCTATTGTGGTCTGATTGTTTCGTTCTTTTTTTTGGTTTATAGTTGTACCTGACAATTTACAAGCTCTACTGTGGTCTGATTGTATTGTTGTTGCTTTTTAAAAGTTGTACCAGTGGGTGGTTGGCGGGTGCTCTGGTGTGGTTTGCTCCTTCTTTCTTATAAAAAAAATGTATCGCCTTAATCTCCCCTCCTTTTTTGTGTTTGTTACTCTCTTGTAACACCTCTAATCTTTGGCACTTATATGACCTTAATGTGTTGCAAGTGCCGTTAAACACTTACTAAAACTTTTTTTTAAGTTGTACCTGACATTTTACTGGCTCTTTTATGGCCGATTAAAAAAAAAAATTTAGAATTTT